GCACATGTAAATTCTGATTTTGTATTTCGTCTAAAAAGGCAGCTTTATATGTTATTTTAGAGTTCCTGGCATATGCCTATTAGATCTCTGACTCTTGAGTGTATTGCAGAGAAGGGTTATATACATCAAATATACTTCTGTTCTGAAATGTTTAGACTTTAAACATTTTTGTATAAACTTATACAAGCTGATGGTCTGCTAACCAAAAAAAAAAGTTTGCCTTTAGATATATGCAAGTGCATTTGCAGACACAACTCCATAACCATTTAGCAAACTATTTAGATATTAGTGAACCTAAAATAAATTACATGAGTAGCAACTCCATATTTTCCTTTTCATCCCTTCCCTGCTGACAACCTCATAACCAAATCAGAAATAGGTTAGCTATCCCCTTATTTTTGCTGCAAGGCCAGCAAGTGGTTGAATTTGAGTTGAATGCTTGCATCTTCCTCAACTTGACTACCTGAAATAAGTTCTGGCTTTCTCCAAAGCTTGCATGGTCTTGCAGTCATTCAGCTGTTTTCTGTCCACTCTTACCTTTTTTCAGTGTCCTCAAGGTGTCTTGCAGATAAATTCAAGTTGCTTTGTCTGGGCGTCCATCCTCTGCTGTCTGGCAGTGAGAGCGTGTGTCAGAGAAGGTGGTGTTCAACCTGCTAGACAAACTGGGGGAGGTGAGGTGAGGGCAGAGTCCCCTGAGCTGTGTGAGGCTCAGGTGAGCGCAGCAGCATGCACAGGTACTTGTTTGTATAGTGGTGCCTGTATCACCTCCCACTTGGTGTTCTTAAAGTGGCACAATCCTTTCCAAAGAAAGGATGAAGCTGTTCTGCCTTGACCACAGTTTGCTCAGGATCAACAAAGCAATAGCTGGCTGTTCACACACGCTGAAGCTGCTTTAGGAGGCAGTCCTAAAGCATTTGTAGTGGAAAATGATGGCCCTTTTTTTTGCCAGGAAACCACTTGGGCTTTCCTTGTAAATCATCTTATTTACTCAGAAGTGAATAATCTGATAATAATAACCAGTTAGAATCTGAGTTTAATGAGTAGCACATGCAGCCTTCAGAACATGAGGGCTGATACCCCTAAAGTTATTGCAGGGGTTCAGACACCCAACTCTTCCATCTATGTATGTTCAACAAACCATTTGCTACTTACAAGAAGCTTAGCTTTATTCAAATATTTAAAAAATCATAGCTGCAGTCAGGCTGCTGCAGTGTCTATTACATGGAATACAAAGTTCCTAGAAACCCCTTTTAGAGACTTTGCTAAGTCAGCTCTGGCTCTGCTCCACACGGTTGTGCAGATGGCACTACATAGTCCCTGAGAAATGGCCCTCTTACCTGTGCACAGTACTGCATCTAGCACTGGTCTGACGACAAGGAAAGGTGTGAAGGCCAAATTGCAGCCTGGGTTAAAATCCTTGTGGTGGGGATGCTGAAATCTGTGCAACGATCTGTCTTGCAATGGAGATAGCCAAAGGGGTATATGTTTGCACCTACTGAAACCAAAGTTCAGACTTCAAGCACGTCCCTGAGATGTCGAAGTCATCTAACTGGAAATAGTTTTTTTTTAAACTCTCACAAAACATGGAAATTGAGCTAGGGTGTTTTTTACAGGGAATAATGAGTACTAAGAATTGCTTTTTTGTGATGGATAATTTTTACAGAATTAAAGTTTTCTGAACTTTTTGGGAAAAAACTGTTTTCCACTGTACAACGCAGAATCAGTAACATTTTCCCCAAAATTTGACATGTGACTTCTACCTTTGATGTTTGACACTAATATTTCATTGATCCTGCCAAAACCAAATCCTTTAAGTTTCTTTGCAAGCAATTTACTTATCCTGTTCTTCATTAGCTTTTAGGATTAATATGATTTTAATCTTAGTTGAGGTGGTGGTGTCATTACTCACCTTTGGAAGTGATGCTCTCCATTGGCTGAAAATCAAACATCACACTGGCTTGTTGGCAAGCTAGGTGGTCCAGTACATGTACAGGTACCGGTAAATATATGGTAAATGCTGGCAGTCTTAGAGGGCACAGCTAGTATTTGAGGTTAGGGTCAGGTGGATTAGGGTTTTAAAATAAGTTCATAAATGTTTCAGAAATAACTTTGAAGCAAAGAGCTGCCAGCCTTGGGGAATCCTGTTGTTCTACAGATCAGATGTTGTGCTGCCCTTTCATTCAGATTTAGAAATTTAACTAGGTGCCCAAATGCCAAACCAGTCTGCTTTCCAAGCCAAGACTGCTGGTTCCAGACCTGCCGGCTGTTAGCAGGGTTGCTGGAGAGAGCACCTTCAGGCAGAGTAATTTCTCACTAGAGTGAGAAATATATGTTTGCTTTGAGGTTTTAGGGCCTCTTCTATTACCCCAAGTAGCTGGAGTGTCTGAGGGGGCCAGCATTTGTAGCTGTGGAGTAACACATTAAGTCCTTTGCCCTCTTCCCTGGGAGCCACAGAGGAAAATGCCCAAACGTGGTGGTGGGGGAATGTTTCTGCTGTGGCACACATTCATCAGACTGACGCTAAAGGCATCTATTTTCTTTCACACACCTGCAATTAGCTCTGATTTTGAGATGACTCCCTAACCCCCTGGTGATAAGCAGGATAAAATAAAAAACTTAACATGACTTTAAATGTTTGAGAGGGTTCAACTTCATTCTTAGGCTGATATTAATCATTGTGAACTTCCTAAACTTCATTGGAATACAATGAGTGGAAAACTACTGCACGAGGTGATGCCTGTGTTCCTGTTTACTTGTGCTTGTGGCAGAGTTAGTTTCATGATGTTGAGTCACGCAAGGCTGAAGACTGGGTGGGTGAGCTGATGGGTGCAGGCAGATACTGGTCAGCTGCAAAACATTCGTAAGAGTAAGAATAGAGTTTGAAAGGGAAACAGTGCCTACGGACTCCTGAGTCCTCATTTTCCCTCTATGTACCTGTTTCAACTGGATTAACGTAGCAACATAAGTCTGCCTAGACCTTACCTGAAAAAGGATTCAGTAGTTTATACTTCGGCTGTGTTGTCCAGCAACAGGGTATTAGTTAACAGCTTGTAGATTTCCTTATGTGCTGAATAGATATGTTGGATAAACTCAGGACTTTGCTTACAAAACTTTTCTCTCTGTATGTTGGGATAACTTTACAGTTCCTAGAACAGAGAAACACAGTCCTATTTAGTATACATTACAAAGATGAAGGATCTGAATATTGCTGAAGTGAATAATTAAGTAACCTGTGGAGGTAGACCACCTGCAGGCACCAAATTGTTCAAGCAGAAAGGTGTCCTGGTTTGTTGTTATCCCTGCTGCATTAATCATCCTAATACCTGTAAGACGAATTGCTTAGTTTGCAGAGAGTGACAGCAAGAATGATTCACAGGCCATGACATCTAGCAGAGGGCTGAACAGAGGTCAGGAAGATCCATGCCTTGTCATAAAGCAGGTGGTGAGAACACGTACTCAAAATATTTGAGGAATTGAATTTAAGCCAGCACAGGAATGTCGTGCATGGCCAGTTGCTGCTCTGGAATTACAGCCATGTGCAGTGCTACGAGGTTCCAAGCAGCCCTTTTGCTGGCCCCTGCGTCCACATCAGCTGTGAGCTTGCCTTGCCTCCACAGTTACCTTCGTACTTCGACTGTTCTGTCTCCATGTCACTCAGAGCACGAGAGGAGCTGGTCTGCTGCTAGAGATGGAGGTTTCCTTGCTCAGCTCTTCACGACCAGGCTGGAGCTAACACAGCCCATGGGAGTGAGTGTGACTGATAGCCAGGCGTTTGGCTTGGTATGTATGGAGGCATGCCTGGATGCTCCACCAGCCTTTGCACTGCATCAGGGAGCTTATGCAGAACCTTCATTGTCTAGACACTTCAGAAGTCAGCTGCCCCAGAGGAAGGGAAAAAAATCATAGACATCTCGGGATGTGCCTGTTGCACTGCACAACTGCACATCTAACCTTAGAAATAACTTCAGTAGGTGACTGGACCCCAGTTACAAAATTATTAAGATAGTTTTGTCTTAAATAAGCCTTCAGCTTGAGCTGGAGGGTGCAGGCTCTGAGCAGCTTCAGCAACGAGCACAGAACATAGGCTGCTTCAGAAATGTAGGCATCACCCAAGCTTAGTCCCATTGGAATCCTGATCAGGTTCTGCCAAGCAGCTCTGTGGTGCCCACAAATTACCTGTATTTGAACCTCCCTACTATCTAGCTTAAAAAAAGTTAACTTGCCAGGGCTCTACTGATCTCAAAAGACATGGGCACTGTAACATCTCAGCTCCTGTGTGTTTTCTTCCACACACATCCCACATGATGTTGGGCTTTCTGTGCTGCTATCACTTTGAGTCAGGAAAGGGATTAAGAATTGCTGGAGAGGCTCAAGACAGGTGGCTTATGGCCACCACTCTTCAGGCATAAGAATGGTAAAGACCTCTGACTCTAAAGCTTTCCCGTGGGTGAGTCTCCCTTGTGCTTGTAGCTCTGTGTCACCCTAGCAGCACTGCTTACTTCTAGGGAATCAGTTATGGGTGAAGATGGCCAGAGAAATGCAGGCTGAGCAACAGCAGTGGTAGCCGGAGCATCTGTACAGGCAGGTTTAGTGAGGGAAACTTACAGAAAGGGATCAAAACACACACAATTTTGAGGCTTCTCAGTAAAGGAGCGCCAGAAGATCTTGTGGCCACATGTCACTTTAGGTATGAGCCCAAGAAATCTACTTTTTGCTATTTCACTAAGTCAGCAGGTTAGCAGAGCAGTAGGAACCCCTGGGCACTCCTATGAAGAAACTCAGTGGGCAATGAATAACAGCACAGGAAAAACGGCCACTGCTGCTCTCATTGTAAGTAATTTCCTCTTTACAGCTGGCATTCATTTAAAAGACAAATCAGGCTGGGGAAGAGTGACTTTTATTTTTGTGCTGCATTATCTGAGTTCACTAGCTACAAATGAAGGGACAAGAGAGGAAAGCATGTTCCAGGGACCCTGCCAGACAGCAGCAGGGGGGAAGCACTAAAACTGACAGACAACAAGGTGATTCTGGTTGCACCTTTTGTCATTCCAAGTGCCATCAGTGTACATCTCAACACATTCCTCTTTGCCAGCAGGTTCATTTAAATACCAGTTAGTATAGTTCAATTGTGTGCCATCCAGGAACTGGAATTTGCTTGGAGTTAGAGATTCCTTTATCCCCAGGTAGGCATAGGTATTAAAACTTTTCACAAAGTACAGAATGGCATCATTCTCCCCTGGGTTGCTTGGAGTGGCAATAGACCCTCCAGCCTCTTTGCATTTTTTCAGTGAAGCATGGTAATCAGCTTTTTTCCGATTGGTAGCAAATATTTTTCCTCTAGATGCCGTTATCATCTTTTCCAAGTAGAGGACTGCAAAATGAGGTGAAAACTGTTAAACTTTTATGCATTGTTTTGTGGTCACTTTGCTGCCAATTGTAATTCCCACTATTTTCCTCCATAACTTTAGATTAAACCCAGGAAAAGGTAAAGGAGAGGAAAACTTGAAATCAAAGGTAAAAAGAAATAAAAGAAAAAAAAAGACAACCCCCAAAATCCAGGAGAAACTCGAGAAGTTGAGGGAAGGGGAAAAAGGGAAGAAACACCTAAATAAATAAATAGGAGAAGCACAAAAGAGGTTAGAGGAGGGAAGGAAATGAGAAATTCTACATTTGGAAAAGTATATTATTTTCTTTGAATCTCTGTACAAGCTCTCTGAAATGGTTTGCAGTATACAAGGGTATACATCAGTCCTTGAGAGAGTAGGATCCTAGATGTGATCTAGTTGTGACTGTTTTGGTATGTTTTTAGTGTTCAGTTTATTTGTCTGTTGGGAGCATGAGGTGCCCATGGAGCACTTCTGCTTTTCACCTGATTAATTTCTGACTTGCTTGTGCTCATACTTCAGAGCTGTTACCTAGGTGTCTCCCACTAGTTATGAAAAACTAATTCCCCCCAACACCAATTTGAGTTACAACTCTATCTACCAGCAAACAAAATGTAAATAGAATGCAATAAAACTGCAGAAAATTCTGCCTTTTTCCTAAGAAGCCATTTTGTTGCTTATCTTGTTTATGCCCACTAATCCAGCTACAACAGAAAGTAAAGGCAGATTACCTCTTTTGAGTCTGGAAATCCGATATTCTAATTGACAGATAACGTCTTCCATTTTGTCATGAATCAGTGGTAGGAAACCTATGAACAAAACCAGCTATGATGCACTTTGTGTTAGAGTTTGAATCTTGGCTTTCAAGATAAAGCAGAGGTAATTGTGTGAAATTAATATCAACTTTTAAAATGTTTATTTCACCTCTTTTAGTTTACTGCTGTGTTTTAAATAGGGGATCTTTTCACACATTGATCTCTGTAAGGATAGGCAATACATTCCTGGAAACTAACTGCAGAGCAGTGATGTTTATGGAAAATTTGAATTAGTGAACTCAGTCTTCACTCTGTAAGCGTTTGAGCCAGTCCAGGAAAAACACTGGCACTTGTGCAGTAGGTTGAGTTGATTTTCAACTATGTCTAGGGATCGTTGACAAAATCCTTCATGTTGTTCAAGCGCTTGCTTGCAGCTCCAACCTAACACCTAGCCACAAGTTTCTTGTGCCCTGTGTTACGGAAAATGATATCCTTTTGTCCGTGAATTGAACTATGGTGTCATTAAGTAGGAGAGATTTAAACATCTTGCTTCATACAAGGAATGAATAAAGACCTGTTTATTTTCTATCAAGTAGAACCCTCATCAGATTATAAAAGATAGCACTGAGTTTGCAAAGCATAAAACCAGAACACAACATTACATCTAGATAAAAATGGAGATGGTAACTGCACGTACCTTGTATAAATCTTTCATCTATCCTGTCCCGGGGCACATTAAATGGTCTAATTTATAGGGCATGTAACTTGAGATTCATCTTGTTACCTATAGGAAATACAAAGAGCATGTAATATGATGTGAATTTACGTATGAATAGAAACTTAATTAACTTAAACTGGAATGAGAGGGGGATTGTTTCCAAGAGGTAAACACACCTACAATATAAGGAAAATATCTGAGGGTAATTTCTTGATATGTAGAAACACTTTCACATGTTTTAAGAAAACCCAACCCTGGAGCAGAACAAAGCAATTTCTCAATAAATACTTGAAATACCTAATGTTTCCACAGAACAGCTGTGTAAACTGTAAATGTCACTGAAGATAAGCCAAAACAAGTTCACCTGAAATATAATATGCACCAGGAACACCACCATCATTTTCATGACAGACTGAGGACTTATCAGTGATAATTTCTGAAATCTTGTAATGAACAGCATCTCATAATTATAGCAGCAAAGACAAAAGACAATGGTATGTCTGCAGCATATGTAGGGGTAACAGCCACAGAAGCATATATTTAAATATCTTACAGAATAGTGCAGGGGAAGTTTATAAACCATAAATAGTTACAGTTTTATCTAACAGAACAATGACCTTTCAGTAAAGGAAAAAGCTGCTTTAAACCAGTTCTGTAAGTACAGAGGCCTCAAGATGTGGAGAATTGCTGAGATGGAAATGCATTGCCATGCATTTTTAAGTTACTCTCAGCTGAGAGTTGCTTCTCTCTAGCGGAGACATTTAGGAAAGGAGTTTCAGGCTGTTCAAACAAGTAAGATGTGGTCACATCATCCTTGTGGTGTCAGGCCAGCATCCTGGTGTTGCAGCAAGGCTAATGTCTAAGTCACTTGAGAAACAGATGCTTTGAGATTAGATGGGGAACATGAGAAATGTTTAGATGCTACTGATCTAAGCAAGACTAGATCACCTCCACAGGCACCCTGCACTTCATACGTACCACAAAAACTGATGTAGAGTCCTTTGTCATTGGTGGTGTGCCCACAGAAACCTGATTAATTCCTGCAGTATTGTTCACTGAGTTTCTTGGAAAAGGCACCAGTCCTGTGAAAAATAAACAAGTGGTACTCAGTTGTGTGCACCTTGACAGAAGAGGATCATTTTAAATTTGCATGAGTAACCTTGAAACAACTTCAAGTTTCTTGTTAAATTTCAAGTTTCTTAGCTTTCGAGTGTTTACCTTAATGCTTTTAATGTTCTTTTGGCTGAGGTTTTCTAATTGTTTTATGGAAAAAAGCCCTGGAGAACATGACACAAGCGACTAGTTGAGACGTAGATGAGCCCTGGAAAAGGTCACTGGCAGAACCTGGGCCTTTGTGGTGAGAACAACTTCTGCACTTCAACTGCATCTGGAAGAAACGGCAGGTTAGGCAAGTGTGAGAACAGGATGAGGCTTGGCCTGCACTAGTGGGTTTCACATGCTGACTGGTGGCCTGGGAAACCTGGAGGGAGACAGAAGGTTTTTTTTGTGTGATAGACTCTTGAGGAGAACTGATGTAGATTTGATAAATTCTAAACCTTTCAAGATAGAACAAGCTAAAATAGATATTTTAAAATATGTACATTTCTACTTCACTTGTTTATGATTGCCTAATAGAATATTCTATAAATTATCTTCACTTGTAAATTATTTTCAGATCCTGCTTTTGAGCTGCATATCACAGACGCTCAGCAAGATTCAAGGATACAGATCTGATAAAGAACAAACCATTTTTGAATATTGAGGCAACTCTTCCTTGTTTCCACATCTATCATTAAGAGGTTTTATAATTTCAGTGCTAGTGCAGCAAATGAAGGATATTCTGAGAGAAGGCTGTGTTGCACAATGCAGGTAGCTAAATGCAAAACATGCTAAGGACAAAAGTTGGTCAATACTGCTTTCTTAGCTGCTGCAAGAAATATAGACACTAGAGTTGAATTTCAGTTTATGAAAGTGGGCATAGGTTCCTTCCATGAACCTGTTTGTTAGACTTTCCTTTGTATACTTAACCTCCTGAAAGTTATTTTTCTTTCCTTCACAGTGCTAGTCACACATCACTACTTTTCTTACTCTGTTTGCATTTAAATGGCCCCAACCCCACTTATATGTTCTGTTTATACTGATTTTGTCATCTGTTGTTTCCATCCTATCTTGCCATTACCTTGTCCTGTGCTTTCTGCATTTCCTTTTCTCTTCCAAATCATTGTCAGATTGTCCCCAGCAGCTTCCTTATGTCTGGGAATATCAGGAAGAGCACAGAGTATGAGGGATTTAGTGTTTCCTCTTCTCAGAGGAGGACTGAGGCTATTTTTGCTGAGCTTCAAAAACTTAAAGCAAAAAATTCAGCCAGATGTGAACACCCAGGATGGCAAACTTCAACATGATTCTTTTTTTAAATTATGAGCAGCATTTTAGAGATGGAAGTCTTAATTTTACCTGAAGACAGTGTGATCAGTGCTCATAAATGCTACTGCCATCTTGCTCTGCTGACAAGTTACATGTGAAGGATCCAAGTGGAGGTCACTAGATGTCTCTGATATGTCTCTTGATGCAGCTTAGCTGAAAAACACAAAGAAATTAGAGTTTTGTGTTTATAAGAAATAGAATGTAAGGCAATATTTCATCTCTTCAATAGTTGTTAATAGCAAAATAACATTCTAATGAGAGAGAGAAAAACACTCTCATGTTTATGAAACTGTTACTCCATATATTCTGCAGTTGTCCTCCATCAGCTGCAGAAGGAGGTTAATTGTTCACTACAGTCTTCACTACCATAATTACCATTGCTGCAGCCTCTCAAGTGTTCAAGTATCCTTGCTGTACAGTTCCTTTTGGCTCCTTAACCACAAGAGCAGATATGAGTGAAAGTTTTATTCCAGGTTTCACCTGGCATCACTCCTGGCTTATCGTTCTTGAGCCAAATCCTGGATTCCTAACAGGGACTTCAACTCAAATCCAAGTCCCTTTATTGTTTTTAAAGATGCTACTCTAATATCCAAGCATCCTGTATTGATTGTGCTTTAAACCCAGGTATTTTAGTATAACTGTAGGTTAATATGATTTTATAAAAGTACATTGCAAGTGATTTTCATTATCAGAAGTTGAAATCTGACACCCTCTGAGGTCCAGACAAACACGTTTGTTATACCATTACACAATACTCCCAAGAACATTGTTTCCCTCTGGTTCATAAGAGTTGTAATAGGGCCATTAGTCTTTCTACCACTTCTCAGTGTGGTTTCAAAGCCAGTTAACAAATTTCCTGGTGGCAAATATTTCTTCTTCTGTTTGCACTTATTGTTCTTCTAAAGAAAAGCTGCAAATAAATGTAAAATGTATGATTAATCTTTACTTTGTATTTGCAGCACTGCTAAGATATTGTAGCAGCAAGTACTGGTGTTTTTCCACCATGTATGTTCTTTTCTCTGGAAAAGAACAGGGGAATAAGATAATTATTCTTCTTTAAATTTGGCTTCAAAAGATTTAAAAAAATTAAAGGAGGGAACTAGTCACACTTTGTATAGGTAAGGTAGCCCTGCCAGTCTGTGTCATGTTCTGCCAGTTACAATGTTCACATAAGGCTGAATTTGAACTTGATTTTCCCAAGAACCATGGGGCTTGTTTTTTTTAAAATCACATTTCTACAAATATCACTAAGCCACAGAAAAATACTTACTTGCTGTAATTAAAGGTCAATTTCTTTACATGTGATAGGGATTCACAGGGGTGGGGGAGCGTTTTTTGAGTGCTCAAAATTGCTAATAGTATTTCTAAGCTAAAACACCAATGGAATTATACAGTTATAAAACAAGATATCGCTCTAGACCAGAGAGAATTTTATCTGAAATCAATATCCATAATTTTTATAGCCAGACAAAATGCTCACTGTTAAATATACTGTAATAACAATTTTATTAAATTTCTCTTGTGTGATACGTAATCTATTTGCTTCAGAAGAGACTGAATTTTGTGACCTTTTGTAATAAGATCTTAATTCTCAAAATCTGCTTTTATAGTGTTTGAGAAGTGAATAAGTTATATTCTGAATGAAAGAGCTTACTGTTAGATTGCTTTTCTGTAGCAAATTATTATAAATCAAGAAAAAAGACTAACCTGGATTTTTCCTGGTCTGGTCACTGTTCACCAGGGATTATTTTTGCTCATTACATTTTTAAGGAAAGATTTTATCAAAATTATTTATTCTATAATAACAGAACAGAGAAACAATTTATGCTGTTTCTTCTTGTGCCTGACCTCTCGGTCCATTTAAAAACCAATTTCATTAACACATAAATGCAGAATTTGGATCTTTCACAAAAAATAGACAAATGCTTATAAGTGTTAAGCAGCATGTGAGGATTTAAATTGATAGGGTTACACACACACACACACACACTCTCTCCATCTAAAAGAAAAAAATAACAATTTCCGGATACTTTTCTGTTCCTCTGAGGAACTACAAAGAATAATCAAGTAATAGTCAACTGAGTATGTAACTTCAACAGGATTTTAACTACCATAAATGAATCCCATGAGATACAAATGCATTCCAAGCCTGTCTGCAGATTATTGCTTTCATTAGGGAATTTTTCTTCTTCTGCATATGATGTTTGACACTGGACTTTTTTTTTTCTTTTTTTTTTTCCCCTCTGAAGTTCATCAAAATTGGGAGATAAAAGTCCATGTGAGAAAACACGGACAGAGTTTTTTATAAAGAAGGCAGGAAACTGGCAGATATCTCCTTGATATCTTCGGTTTTATTTATGAGGCATAGCCAAGACTTTGGACACAGAACAAGGAGGGCCGTTCCAGAATGGTGTAAGGGTCAGGCTAAGGCATAGCTGGAGAAGAGCTGAGTATGATTGTTATATGGAGATATTTTATGAAAATAACTGAGCAGTTTAGTTCAGTCACCTGAAATGTTACAGATCTCTAAACATTAGAGGGGAAAGTACTGCCTAGAGTTCTTTGACTGGATCAGAGGAGTTTTTATTTTTAAGCAGCATGTGTGTGTTTGATTTATTTGGGTTTTGATGTGGGTTTTTTTTGTAGGTTTTTTTTTTTCTAATAGTAATGGCTTAAGCAGAAAGAAATTAGTCTCTGAGACCTAGCCTAGATGCTTTGCTTATTGATGTAATAAAAATTAGCTTTTGACTGAAAAAATAATCTTATTTTTCCTAACTGGCTAAAAACCACCCAGGTGTCTTGAAGTCTAAATCTGTTTAGAAGATAGGTGATATATTGCATCAAACCATTTGTAAGATTTTAAATGTTAAGAATTTTAACAAGAGATTTGTATAGTCAGTTTTTAAACACAAATGTGATGGAAGTCAGTCATTGATTAACTAAAAGAATAGGATATTCCAAACCTAGCTGGAGATCTATGTAAATGAATATGTGAATTTGGTTCAGGTAATAAAAGATCACGTTAGTAGAGAGACATTTTTTGTCTCTTTCTTCAACATGATGCTACCTTATACCAGGTAATCATCTTGCTCTAATGAAGAATCTGTACAGCCAAAAGACTCAAAAATTGCTAACAAGGTTTACTCATTAAAATACTAATAATTAAAATGCAAGAAGTAGAGGTAGTTTTAAGTAAACCTTCAACTATTTCTAGCAGATTTAGTGCAGCTGGTCAGAGCTAAGTCTAGGAAAATTATAAGGTGTTCATTTAGCCTTATCTTTTCTCAAAGTAACCCGAGAGTCAGAATTTTTGTCGTAGCATGATCTATTCTCTTCCCATTTGAAATTTTTAGCCAAAATGGTATCGTGGTCATAGGTCTCAAAGGAAGCTATTTTGTAAAGCAGGTTCACACTTTGAAATCTATCCAACATGGTACTGGGTGTACTTTTCCTGTTTCAAAGTCCCTGCCAGCTCTCAGATTGGCTGAAGTGCTGTATGCAATGCTGGACGTGAATCCTCCACTGACAAAAGTATGCCCTTATCTCCCATGTCTGAAGACAATAAAGCCTTCCTACTTGTCAGGGCTTAAAATGACCTTGTGAATAGATGTCATCTCTTCCTCAATGTAGGCTAGGGACAAGCAACAACACTTCCTAGCATCAAGTCCAGGTTCCTGTGTGTTCCCTGCACAGAGCCAAATGGTGGAGAGGAGGAGAAGATGAAGTAGAAGTGTTTATGCATGTATTTTAACTCCAGTGCTTTCTTTTTTTCCCTCAGGTGGAGTGAGAATGATAATGGATGAGCGCAGGACTTCCTCACTGCAAGGTAAGTGTGTGAGAATTTGCTACTTATGGTACTTTATGGAGCTCCCACTGCTCACCAGCTAGCCAAATTGAGTGGCAGTGAAAATATTCTGTGAAAAGTCGCTTCTCAATCCTAGCAGATTTGAGTCATGGTCTGACCGTGTGGTTGCTTGTGGTTGCTTGGCATGACATCAGCAGGGAAATAGCTTGTGTTTAAACTGATTGAACTTCCAATCTTACCTGCTCCCTCAAAATAGTATGTGGTCATTCAGTGGCTTGGGAGACGGCAGGTGGCCTTCTGGCACCACAACGGTCGTGGTTTTATGAGGGAATGTGATGTCTTAGCAACAAAATGCAATTTCTATTATTTTATACACATATTTCTACGTCTACATGGATCTACTGCAATGTTTATCTTAGTGTTTTAAAGAGACTAGCCTCTGAAACAAGGGAAATTAACTGTAACTGGTACTGATAATATTTTTATGAAAAAAAAGGTTAAACATGGATGCTAAATGAATCAGCGCGAGCTTTAACATGACACAATACAAGCCCTATAATTCAGGGACATGCAAAACCTGACACCATAATTGCTCCAGTGAGGTCAACCTCTGTGCATCTCTCAAGGCAGAAATTATTAAATACTTGGAAATGTTTCCACTGTGAAGCCACACGCAATTTTAACTTCAGATGTTTCCCAAGTCAAACCCTGGATTTTTCCTTTAATCTTCACAAAGGCACAATGCACAAAGACAGTCTGCTATGAAAAATGAATTCTGAATTATCCAACCCTCCAAAAGAGAAAACCACATCAGATTAGGCATATTTTAATTATGTTAATCACCAACTACATTTGGCATTTTCCTAAGGATAAAAATTACTGTACTATGATTAATTTTAGATTTTCTGGCACAGAATAATTGCAGAAATTGCATAAACCTGAGACACAGGATATTTCATTGTCTCCATACTCTGAGGTGGCTGAAAGGCCATTCTTTAAAATTCACAGATTGTGAGGCGATACAGGTTGCATTTTTTGTCATTCCAGCTCCCATCAGTGTACATCTCTACACATTTTTCTGTCCCTTTGCCATTAGGCTCATGTTGGTGCCACTTGGTATAATTCAGAGGTGTGCCATTTATGTAATTGAATTGACCTGAAGTCTCACCCTCTATAATGCCCAAGTAAGCATATCGGTTATACTGTTTCACAATACCCAAAACAGCTTTATTCTCCTCCTCGTTTGTGGGAGTTGCAAGAGTTCCTCCAGCCTCTTCACAGGATTGTAGTGCAGATGCAAAATCAACTTCCTTCCCGTTGCTGGCCAGTATTTTCCCTCCTACTTCTCTTATCTTCCCATCCAAAGCAAGCACTAAAACATGAAAAGAAAAATTTGTTAGCTTTTTTCATTTCCTGTGGCATATTGATGAGAGAGCAAAGAACAAGAAATCACGAGATGAAGAGAAAATTAAAAGTGGTAAGAAGAACAGAGGGCAAGGATGAAGAGGAATAAAGATCTTCAAAATTTTACCAATTCACTAGTTGTTAGCTAGGTATATTGTTATGCTGTTTGTGACCCTTTGTCTTCTCCAAGACAAAGATGCCCCACTAACAATTGCTACGTACACTATCAGCCCTATTATATTGTGTGTACTCTCTAAAGAGGATTAATTTGCTTCAAATTCAGGTAAGTAAAACAAAAATGATAATTTTTGTGAATTCCTTCTCAGTACAAAACAATTTACCACCTTTAACAATCTAGTTGCTGATGAAAATGCTAGCAAAGTGATACAAGGCTGAGGAGTTCCCCTGACTCCATGTGGAAAGTGCACATATTTTTTTAAATAAATAAAATCTAAATAAATGCGTATTAGTGTTCCTGAGAGAAACCTGCTTCTCCAGGGAACATGAGCCCTGATCTCCCCTGCTTTGGAGAAGAAAATTGAGTTTTGAGATATAGGATCATTTTCAAGTGCAATTTCTTTCCTGCAAGTTGTGATTCTGTAATTAATTTTGCCTATTGCACTTAAAATTCATTGTGAGCTGAAAAAGTAAAAATGGGAAAAATTACCGCCTTCAAGTCTGGAGAGTCGGTGTTTCAGATTTACTAAAACATCATGGAGTTTAGTGTCCAAAGAATAAGGTAGACCTACACAGATAAAAATAAGTTACACAATCAAGCAAAACCAGGCTCTGCTGATAGAAACAATTTCTTGGATAAAACCAGTCATTTTCCAAAGCTAATTAGCACACAGCATATTCTTTTTAACATCATATGGTGTAAAATAAATATTTTCCCAGTATTTAGCAGTGTTGTTAACCTATATGATAGCAAACAAACAAAAACCTCCAAACCTCCGAAATGCTGATAACTCCTCTCTGCACAGAGGAAAATAATTTTTTCTAGGTTGGAGTCTTATGTTCATCCTATCTGTGAAAGTGGCTTTGCCAAAGAGAATTTGTTTTTATCTAATAATTGTTAGTGAACAGGTACAAGGGAGATTTGGGGGAGGAAACAGTTCCTACAGCACCATACAATTTTCTTTTTACAGCACCATACAATTTTCTTTTTAATATGCTGGGTGAATGCTTTGTGTTTTTTACAGTGGGATCTTATTTTAATGGAAACCATATGCACCGGTATAGGAGGGTTTCTGCATAGATTGTGTGAAATACAGTCCATCCAGCACTGCTTGCTAGAGATGGGAACAAATTTCCATGGGTAACAAAGGTCCTACTTGTAGAATAAAGTTACTAGTGTGCTCCCAAGATTGTGTTCCCATTATTCACAACTAAAACAAATGGCAACACAGAAGCACAAAATATCGCTGCATCTCTCTTTCTGAATTGCAATGTTGCAACTCTTACTGCACTTCACAGTCATTAAAAAAACATGTTTGACCAAATTAGAGTCTATTGCACTGAGAGAACATTACATGGGCATCAGCCTTTTTCACCTCTCTCACCTTGCACCCAAGGAAGACCATCTCTTCCAGGAGGCCCCATCAGGTTTCTACAGAGTCCTATGAGACCTGGAAAAGAGATGCATAATTTTCATTCCAATTGGATGCATATTCTGGGACCTTCAGGATGAAATAGAACTTAATCTCAAACTGAAATGTGTTACATCTATGAATAATTTTGATATGGCTTTAGCCTTGGTAACAGACCTGGAGAAAGCATTTCTACATAGAAAGAAAATTATGCAGTACAGAGCAAGCGTGTTCTTTACTAGACTACTTTTGCACTATTTTTTGGTCTTTGAATACCAGACAAACATGCCAGAAGCCTTTTAATTACACTTCTAAATACTGGCATAACATTTTCTTCATATTTAAAAGAAAAAGCTTCTGCTGTGAAAAAAGTAATTTCCTCCGGAAAGTCAATGGAAAAGATACATATAGTATATTTATATGTTTAAGTTTTGATAACCTGTTCATTTCCCCTCTTCTCTCACAAGAGAGAGGAGGCCTATCATTTAGAAAAAAAAATTAAACTATATCTCCTCCATTCAATTTTCCCTTCTCTGCTTAACGCAGCTGCTTCCTCGAAGGCACACATCATTCTGTGTTGACTCTTTTTATTCATGCAGCCTTCATGACAAGGATTTGTTGCAAAAACTTGAAGTTTACTTACCCGGTAAACGTGGCTGTCCTTTCAGACCTTCTCTTCCAGGCAGTTCAGGGATATCAGGTAGCCCAGGAATTCCTGGACATTTACACAGCGCATGGCAAGTCACTAGCAAAGCAGCTACTGCTATGAGCATGCAGGATGAGTGAGACAACATGATTGCTCAGGTCAGCTGTAAGAAAACCCACATAGCTGTCAGGCAATAATTCTGTAAGAAATTATAGGCATTGGCTTATGTGATTGAACATTTTTTTCTTTTACTTTGCACTCCCCCCTCACCTCCCTTAATCTCTTCTTGAAATTTCTGTTCTTTCCTTGTTTAAATAAAAAGTCTAGAGTTTAGGTATATGAGTTTTCCCAGATTTATTTTGCTCCCGTTGCATAGCTTAAACTGTTTCTAGACTGATACAGATTGGTATGCTCATTACAGAATGACAGCTAAACATTTGGGAGTTGTGAAAACAAATCATCCTTTTTGCTATCACTGACTATTTGTTGGATTAATCCTTGAGAAATGATTTAAACATTTGGGAGTTGTGAAGACAAATCATCCTTTTTGCTATCACTATTTGTTGGATTAATCCTTGAGAAATGATGGGTTCAGATGCAACTGATCACGCTTAAGCTATTAGTTGTCTGTAAGGGCTATAATCACTCACTGAAACATAGATGCATACGCTATCAACCTGAAAGGCACAATCTGTTACAGTGGTTGTGACGGTTTGGAGCTAGTTAGCAATCTCTTTAGGCACAGTACTATTTAAGCACATTTATTTGAAATAAGCAGACTGATAGCATGTTTTACACACAGGCAAAATTTTATAGCTCAATTGACGTTCCTGTCTTGTTTTGAACAAAATTCCACAAGCTTGAAAATGTCAGTCTTGTAGAAAATGCATTTTTGCTGGTTGTCAATAGGCTTATTCATCTTATTTTATCCTTTCAGATATCACATTGAGTAGGGTTATAATTTCAATGCTGAGATATCATGACTAAAATGCACTCAAACTATAGAGTCTGGGTTTACAATGCAGCTAGTGGGTATGCAGCACTGGTAATGCTGTGCAGTTATAAAACCTGAATTGATGGTCTATAAGGCACTATGGCATGGGAATACCCAGTTATTGGCACCATTCAGTTAAAATAATGAGAGATTAAGAAAGGTTCAAGATGCCAGAATGGGTATCTCTCTCTAATGAGATGACCCTGATGGGTTGACTCTCATACAAAATACATAATTTAATATCCATGACTTCACTTTTCTTTTGGCACAAATTAGAGAGAATCATGTACTATACTCTCATAAAAACTTTAGAATTTACAAGATCATTTTAATTGACACATGTTTTAAATCCAACTCCATTTAAAGTTGAGAATAAAATCTTGGTTGGCTTGAATGCTGCAAGATTATTAACACATGGGTTTATCAGTTAAAACAAGGTATTTGTTTCAAAGCAGATATGCCAAGCAGAATTGAAACATCAGTTCATTATTATTACCGTTTGTTAAATGGATACACTAAAACTGGACTAAGCTTTTTTAAAAAAAAGTGTTCTTTACATCTTCCAGACTGACTCTACTGTAGAAGGCTTTTGACATTATTCTAAATCTGCATCAATACCAACTATTTTTAAGGGCAAAATTCACTTGATGATGTTGATTTGTTTTTTCTACAAATGTCTCATCAAAATAAATTCAGTGGGACATACCCTTGAACATAGGGATATTCAATTATGTCATAAATTTCAGCGTTTTGCTGCATCTAGAATCTATAACAGCAGTGTCTATTCCTTATGGTTAAGAATTTATACTTTAATGAATGGAAATTTCAAATTCACCTGAGAACACACATGCGATATTAAAAGTGCTGTCGTGTTTCATGTGTTGAATCTGAAATGTCTCAAGTTGTTTACCTTTTACTATGTTGAAGGCTAGCAGACACCTATGCTGGCCGATGACTCGGAGAGCAGATTATTAGAGTCTCTAACAGAAACCTACCTTAGATGACTAGGAATACATATATCCCTGAGATAAGGAAATGCAATTACAACAGGTACTTTTTGTCTGGTGCTGATCGTTCAGGGAATTACATTTGAATGGACTACTGCATCCAGCTCATAATTGGATGATGATGCAGAGTCAGAGTAGTGATCAGTTATATAGCAAAATGGAAAAAATAGCTCTTCCATTTTAATCCAGTTTTAATGACATTCATCAGTCATTACAATCTGCTGGCCTTCAGGCATCTCATCTTCTGAAATTGCTAATATAAGCAAAGTAAAAAATTACTAACAAAGGAAAATTTAATTTTAAAATGTAAATACGACCACAGAAATGGAAAGGAACAGGTTCACCTTCCGGATGAAGTTCCTTTTGATTTATTAAAAGAAAATTCAACTTACCCTTCTGCTTCAAAGTGAAATGAAAGAGCAGTTTGCAGAAGTCCCCTTTATACAGTGTCATGTTTGTTAAATGACACCACTGAAGTGGAGACTGGATAACGAGGGCACGAATGAGCCTTTTTAGTTTTGCTTACGTACGTGTTATGCAAATACTGAGAACAATTTTAAGGGTTGAGAAATTTCTTTTACTTTTGTAATAATAGAAAGCCAAAGTTGGAGGAAAATCAACCTAGAACTAACAGATAACTCCAGGTTTGTAGACATATACAAAACATATGAAAATTTAGAGAAACTTTCCATGATTTTAAGTGACACTGTAACATTTTTTTCTTGTTTTACAAAATCAAAAATGGCATATGACCACCAGTGGCTTTTGTAGAAGGAAAGGTGTTCATGTTAATTAGAGAAGTACATTACCTTCCAGATAGAGTCTGACCTGATAATCAGAATTCTAAACTTTGCTTTCCATCTCTGTATCTCATGTATTTATCTTACCTTAACATCATTTTCTAGCTGTGTGTACCCTCAACATTTCTCTGAGCAGCTAGTCTCTTCTGCATATAGAGTACAGATGATCCTCACTTGGTCAGAGATGAATCCTGGAAAACTTTGTATACATGCCAAAATGGACAATATTTTCAAGTAAAAAAAAAAAGAAACTAGAGGCTTTGGTCCTCTAGTTTCCCAGAAATAAAGATTGGGATCTTGTGAGTAACTTCCTTCTGGTTCTGATTCCTTCTACTATAAGGACATTTACTTTTGATCCTAGCTGAGGTTTGTTTTATGAACCTCAGCAAGCCAACACATCAGTCCCTCACCTGTAAGATAGAAATACCTCTGCTTCACAGCTTTTCTCTATTTTGCCAGTTTACACTGCGGTCTCTTAAGGATAGAATGGTTTCTACTATTCATTTGCATTTTACTAAAACTAATTAAGTTTTTTTCATGATCTTTAACTATAGCGTCTTTCCACCCAGCAGAATCCACAGCTGCAAGCTAACACTGTTAGGGTCCTTATTCGACAAATAAAGAGATGTCTAATATCAACTGGCTGACCTAGCTAAGAGAAAATACCAAAGGAGGAGATATGTTTAGGATCCCCTTTAGAAGTAACTTAGCCACTTAAATCCACTTCAGCATGGTCTGTCTTCTCTCATTTAAAAAAAAAAAAAAAAGAAAAGGAAAAAAAGGAAACTGTGGAGATAACAGTGTCCTTTTAAGCAAATGATCAATTAACACTCACAAATGTGTGTTAGAAACAATCTATCTTCAAGTCCTTCCTCCACCTGATAAGCAGCAAAGCTTTGAATGCAGGTTAGTAATTTTACAAAACCTCTAATCCCACCAGTTGAAACTATTTCCTTCTGTAGTCCAAATGGTAGGTGAAAAGAACTGGTGTTAAGCGTTTAAAGATGTGGATTAGATAGTACCTTGTTTCTGAATCCTGCTGCAGTTTGGGAACAGCACAGACACGAGGCAATGCAGCACAATCAAGACATGGGTAATTCTGCATCTGGATGGCAGCAGACCTCTGGGGTACCTACAGCTCTAAGACATTTCTGCAGTTACAAGATAAGATGGAACTTAATGGATCCAGATTTTGGGAAGTAATATTTTAAATGATTAAGTGCCCAAGTTCTTGGGAATCTAACTTACCAGAACACAATCTCCTATAGATATAGTTTCTAGGCAACTCTGCAACAGTCATAATAGTTAACACCGTTCTGTGGTATCACTGCCCATATACATCCTCCTCACACATATACATGCAACTTTACTACATGAACACATGATAAATCTTTGGAGACTCATACTGTTTCTTCCACGTAACACACTTTGTGCTTAAAAAAAAATTAAATAAAGAATTTGAAACATTAATCGAGGAAGCGAGTGAAGCCCCACCAGCTACACAATATGTCTGTCCATTCAGGAAAGTGTGGCATAAGCAAAACATGGCTTATAATGTAGAAAAAGTTTATAAATTATTATCTTTTATGAAAACTTTCAAAGAAACGTACATTTGGTAACAGTTCTTCTCCCATGAGCCAGGTTATACTTACACAATGGAAGCTGATAAGAAATCTGTAACATAATCCAATGTAAGAGATTACTTAGTCATTAGATTTACTTTCCTCAGTTATGTAGCAGAGAAATAGGGAAAACAAATACACTAGGATAAGGAAGAAGGAAAGTAAATACTACTTCTGCAACCTGGCACTCCTGTAGAATAGCTACAAGGCTCAGTATTATGAAATTTACAGGTAAACCTGTGTTATTAATGGCTGAAGATCTTTAGCAGGGTAACACCGACAAAACCCAGCCAGGGAAGTCTAATGGTTTCAGTGGGCCCCAGATACTGCATCCTTCTTTCTGTTATTAAGTAGAACAATAAGATTCCTTCTGATGTCCCCTAATGCATTAAATATGTTGTGTTGTTAATGCCAGTGAATTAAACCCAAACCCCACAATGGCCTGCTCAACTATTAGCAAAGGAGAACTTGGAAAAAAAAAGGAATCAAAGACACTGTGTACCCAGAAAGACTGCTTCTTTACATAGCAGCCATGCACACTACCCTCAAAAAAGTAATTTGAAAACTAATAACTGCCAATGTGGTTTCAAAGCCACAACCAATTTTATATAGCCTTGAAACCTCTAATTTTCAGAAAACAACGTGAACTCTCCATTTTGCTCCGCATACTGTTTTGAAATGAGCTGATTACTAACAACCTTATCACACCCCAATCTGTATAAAGC